CTGCCAACACAGAAACACCGATATATCGTTTAATACTGGCACGTTAGTGTGGCGGCAGAAGGGAGACAATGGCTTTAGAGTATGTGGCTGCAGCTATAAATGCCCACGTGATGATACGCCACTTCGTTGAGCTATCATTTGTGGCCAGGTCGCTTCTAAAAAAGAACTCCATACCTCAGTGGGCCTTACCTGAAAAAAATTAAATAAATCTAATTTGGATAGTTTGGGGGCGGAGGGTACCACAAAGGTTGAGAATCAATGAGACATCAATTGCGGTAATTTTGGGCCACATGTCCAGACGATATATTTTCCCCTTGCCCAGTCTTTGATGTTATCTCCATCTGAGCGCCAGCTGTGCCCGCCGGGCTATTGTGCCTTGATCTACGAGCCCAAGCGAGCGCTGGGTCCAGGGTCCAGATCTCGCCCTCCCTGGCCACGAGGCTTGGCTCCTGTGGTGCCTGAACAGTTGGGTCCTAAATATATTGAGCGTTTAAGCCCCATCCTGTTCAAATACAGTGACTCCTTCAAGACAGGTTTGCCAACTGTTCGGATATTAATAGCTCAGTTGATATAATTATTCTGTGTTGACTGCAGTGCGCCTTAAGTCCATTGTTTGATTTACGTCATGATTTAAATTTTCAGCCTCCATTATCACAACTATGGTTAATGCTCTGTTTGCAGTGTAAATTACGAGCGTGGCTTGCACAGTTACTGGAAGTGCTGTGCAGTCTGGTGGCAATTCAATGTACATGATTACACCTTAGCAATGTGACTTTTCACCCCTGCAATAAAACACGTTCACGATTCAATTCCAGAACTGAAGAGGACACAGCAAGAAGACCCTGGTTTCGATTCCGAATTGGCATCTGTCTGTGTGAAGTTTGTATGTTCTTCCTCTTTTTGCATGCGTTTTCTCTGAGTTCTCCGGGTTTCTCCCATAGCTAACATAGATATCACACAATGTAACTGCTATTGGCCAAACATCCCAACGCTGAAAAGGCACCAGAAAATTACTCAATTGTGACAGCCCATGTCAGTATTGGCTCTTCCTGCAACAACTTGATCAGACCCAGCAAGGCTTTCCTGGATTAAAAAAACGTAATCAGAATTCAATCTTGGTTATCTTTTTTCCTTTACAAATTTGCTCTGTCTATACTATTTTTCTGAACTATATTTTACTGTGGCTTGCTCGCCATGGTTTGTGGCATCCGCACAAACCATGGCAGTAGATACACATATCTGATACACAAATGAAAAGTTAGAAACTCTCCAGTCGTAGTGTGCGACTGTGGTCATCCAGAACAGAACGTAGTACAACGTGTGACGACGCAAGGCCCCGATCCACAAACACGGAGACATCACCGCGATAATTATAACTCCGCTGCTCCTGAGGCGCTTATCTGGCTTGACCACCTGAATGTGAAATAGTAGTTGAAGCTCTGCATCTACACCAGCAGACATACGAAAGAAAAAGTCTAACGTGTACACGTCTCTGTAGGCTTTAATAGTATTACACATATGTTCTTTGGCAGTGCGTATTTGATCTATGACTTCTTTGAGGGCAGCTGCACATTAGAAGGCCGTCAAAACATTTCCGTGCACTGGGATATTCGCTGGCAGATTGACGTCACGTCGGTTACGCGGGAATTACAGCAAAGTGTTTTCAGTATTGCTCCGGTGACTGCAATGACGAAGTATGGTTTTGTAACTGTTGGTGTTGGGCGTTGATGGAGCTGCAGATTAATTATTGCTTATTCATGTTGATGTCAGCTCACGAGAGAAATCTAGATCGGCACAAGCGCGTCTGATTGATGACATCGGTCAGTGGTTTCACAACACCTGGCGTGGGCTTTTTCGATAGATTTTGCTGTCAAAGCATTCCAGAGAGGTCTCTGTCACCCCCCCCAGGTCTTGGCTCTCCTTGGTGCAGCCCCCGAGGGGAGGGGAGGGGGCAGGTTAATGTCACAGAGCTACCTGCCGAGCCTGCCTCCAGCCAAGTCAACACAACGTTTGAGGAGCTACTTCAGTTAAGGGATAGATGGCAGAAAGAGATGTTTAATTTTTTTTATTTATCAGGGAATAGTTGTTCCTTGGGCTTTCTCCCACCTCCATGAGAAGAGATAAAGACTAGGGTTGTTGAATGATAACCGCTAAACCGGTAACCGTTTTGAGAATTGGTTACCGGTTCTAAACCTCATGAACCAAATGTGGTGTACCCATTTATGGGGGGGGGGGGGGGGGGGGGGTTGGACGTTCTTTATCGTCAGACATTCCTCCAGGACTGGTGTGGAGAATATGAAACCGATTTAATTTTTTGTTATGCAGTTACTGGTATTGCAAATGAATCTGATTTGACCAGCCCTGAGTGAAGATGGCCACAGTTACGGGCTGCAGTGTGGACACTTTTCCGCTGCTTGAAGTGTACATGTGGAGTGAATTGTTTACAAGTATTTCATCGTGAAATAACTTCCAGTCATTCCTCGAAAAAAACTCCTTCTCACTGCGCAACGCGACTTCCAGGAATGGAGATACGCCCATCCCACAAATTGCTCTCCAGACGTGTACTTTAAAGTTTTCCTCGGGCAGTTCCGAGCCCCGAAGTGAGCCGTCGCAGGTGATTGTCGTGATTACACACGGAGGGCTGGCTGGCCGTGGAGAGACAAAGAAGGGTTTAGATTCATCTTAAAATAATAAAATAAAACAATAAAATAATAAAACATAATAAAATAATATTATTATTTTATTATGTTTTATTTTTATTATTAATAATATTATTTTATAATGTTTTATTTTTGTTATTTTATTATTTCCATTCTACGTGACTTTACCGAAAGAACCAATAAGATGAATCCCTGCAGTCACGAAAGAAGCTTTAAATCGAAATTTAGGGTTTAGATTATTTCCGTAAAGGCCATCTGGCCTATAGGATGTAAACAAATATACTATTATTTATTTTATGTGGATGAATTGTTTGCTTATTTATTGTTACTGAATCTCTCTATAACGACAATAATTATTGTGATATATCCACTGCTAGATGAAAGCCTCCCCAGCCGTTGCCATCTCTCATGGTCTCGCAATGTATTTAAGTACAGTACGTTGAAATCATTTCGCACCGTACGTAGCCAACCGTGCTAATCGGAGGTGCGGGGAAGGACAACAAATGAAACACAAAAACCAGTTTCAAAGAAATGAATTTTCAATCTACGCGAGCTGCCTTCACCTCTCCGTCTTCACGGTGGACGTTCTCTCCGTCGTCTTCCCTTGAGTGCCACTCCTGCGATCATTCCCATCACCGGCCCTCCCGTATAGGGGACGCATCCTGACAAACCCAACAACTTATTGTGTGCAGTTTGAACGAGGTCTCTAACTTGCGCGTTCTCTAATCAATGTGTTGATATTTCCATCTCCGAGTGTAATTTCAACTTTGTGCACTTTTCAATGTCCGTGTTTCTGATCCACAGCAGATTATACCCGCCGATTATAACCGCTCCTATATATGCTCGCTGATTTTAATCTCGGTATAAGGGGCCATCCATTTACTACGTACGCATGGAGGGGGGGGGGGGGTGATCCATATGCATACGCTTGCCCTAGGGGGGGTCTACTGACAATGTCCGTACGTGTAGTGGGCTCCACGGAGGGACACACTTGGAGGCAACACGTTTATTACACGGCCCCAACAGGGCTACTACTTAAACGTGCACAGACCCCAACAGGGCAACTACATAACCGGGTCAGTCAGTAACATTCTGACTGATCCACGATGCCGAGCGAAGTCCGAAGATCGAAGAGACGCAGCACCGAGGGTTGGATCTTACCAGAAGGCTCTCGTCCAAGCATCACGTGTCCCTCGAGCCCCCTTTGGGTCACCTTGCTATCCTGCTCCAGTCACGTGCCCTCTCGGGTTCACCCATCTTGCCATGTCCTTACTTGCCCTCTCTCAGACCATCAACAAGAACTATGCCTCCTCGTGCCCGCTTGCATCAAGCGTACGTACGCAAGTGGGCGGTGGGGGGGGTGAAAAAAGTATGCGTGCGTACAGGTAGGGGGGAGGGGTCAAGTTTTGAGCGATTTTTGCGTACGTACTAAATGGATGGTCCCTAAAATGGATGGTCCCTAAAGTTACGTTTTTCAAAAGTATTCTGACCCGTTCTCGACCACCACGGGGGACGCTGCACCTCTGAACCCCCAGGGGTGGAAGGGGATCTGCCGCTGGTGGCAATGAATCGTGCTCTTTGAAGAGCCACACCTTTGTGGCGGGGTGGTGGAAGGCAGCCAATTCCTCCAGTCGTAGCTTGTACCACGACATCCAATGGCAGTGTGCACCACCTTGTAGGGCAGCAGTGAACGAACGAGTCCGTACGAGACCGTTCTGTCTGCTTATTTAATTCCATATGCTCTATTTATGTCATGTTGCCAAAAAATGACTGTGTGGGACAAGAGGATATGTAAAGAACGACTTATTGTCAGCATAATTATTTGTATCGTCAAAACTGAACGCTTTCGTCAATATACACGTCGGCTTTAAAATAAGAACTGCATAATAGGAAATGTTTGGGGCATGAATTGATTTACATACTATGAAGGGTCATTAGACAAACGTCGCCCCTATCATATTGGTTTTCTTTTAAGATCAAATTGTTATTGACGAATATGTTGCGTTTTGTGAGTGGAGCTTGTGCTTATTATTCTAACCCGAGTTCTTAAAAGCTGATCAGCAAGAGTGGCGACAGTGACCGATTGCTGGAAATGTTTCATGGCAGCACGAACCTTCACAAGTCACCTGCCTGAATGTCCCCAGAATAGCACGGCATTGTTGCACAACATTACACAACGTTACACGACTTCACGCAATGGGACACGGCAGCTTGTGCAACAAACACATCGCCCTCAACCGATCAAGAAAGTGGTTTAGTTTCCTAGCCGATTTTCGTTTACAGGAAATGTGTTTTATTTATTTTATCACATTATTTTTTATATATATTATATTTGAGCAGTTTTTGATTTCCTCTATAACACTTTTTCTTGTTTTTGCTCTGGTTTTTATTTGCTTCATAGTTGTACTTGTTTTTATGTTGTATTTGTTTTTCTGCCTTTGAAATGTTGGTAACCCAGGTTACTCTTGTACCTGAGACTTTATCAATGTTAAACCAAATTAACCTTAAATTGTATTTCAGCCAGGGCACGGCGGCTATGCTTTGCTTGCTTTGGAGGCAGGGGGTTAGCAGCTGGCAGAGTGAAACTCCCCAACGTGCTGGGTCGCTTTGTGGCCTCGAGATGGCAGTACAGCAAGTGTGTTGTTGAACCCATCTGTATGCACCTTTCCGGATTACGCTCCCATACGCGTGAGCTGGGTTTTCTCCGGTCCCTCTAGGATTCCACTTACATGAAGACAGACTTTGCTTAAAGTGGAATTTGTAAACTATGCCATGGTGCAGTACCCTCCTAATGAAAGGGCGTTGAGAATCCGTGAAACTGTCCCCTAGATATACGACACTGGAGTTCTTTACATTGTATACAATAAAACAGCACCACGTTTAATGTCAAATAATTTATTTCTGCTTGTACTGTAGGGGATTTTAACCATTCTTTTAAAACAATGAAGAAATATGAATAAGTCACTTATACTGTTCAACAATGCCTCAACATGTAAACTCAAATGTTTCTCAAACGTTCATCCTGTTTTATTTGGCTACATTCCTCTTCATTTCTCACTTTAGATAACTGTGGCGTAAGTGTGTAATTTAAAAAATGTGATTTATTTGAATATTGTTTATATTTTTATTAAACTGTCTTTGTTCGATGTACTGTCATTATTAAAGTTATTGTAATTGTTCCTCTCCATAATAAAATAACATTTCAACAAAACAACATTTTCCGTGTAAACATTCCAGTTCCTCATAAAACGATGGTCACTCTATTGCCAATTTAGTTTCAGTGGGATTTGTTTCAGTCTAATACACAGTAACTGTACGAATGTTCACATATATAGTCTGAGGTCAAAACATGTAACCATGGCAAGAACAAAACGTCCCTTCCAGAAAACAGATATATGTTTTTACTCAATGCACATGTTTTTAAAAACAAGACACATTATTTAATATTTCTTCAGCTCGAAGTTTCACTATAAATCCCATGTGCCTTGCAGAAATACATGCATTAATTACGGTATTATAAGCATGTGTTGTGTGTGAACACTCGCCAAGTGGCTCATCAGCCACGGCACGGGCTCAGCACGTGTCTACACTCCTCTAGAATCACATTCACATGCGATGTGAATCACACAGCAGTGGCTGCCACGAGGCTCCAGATTGAGGAGGCAATGTTGTTATCACAATTGAGTGATTTGTAAGTAATTTTTCAGAAACGGTATGTTTGGTTAATACCAGTTGCATTGTACGTTTTTAGAAACTCGTGCAGGCAAAGGGTGAGAATATACAAATCCCATATGCAGACCGGCGCTAAAGTCGTAATGCGAACCGAGGCTCCTCTTGCTGTGAGGTGCAAGTGTTGCCACTGCGCCATCCTGCCGCCCGACACGTGGAGCAGTGGAGGTGGAGTCTTTCGATAATTAGAACACAAAGGCATTGCGAAATAATTGCAGTTCCTTAATGCATATCTTGCACGTTTCTGGATCTCCATGCGAGTTCAAGTGTATCTGTAAGATAATCTGGGTCTGTGTGTAAGTCTATGTGCGTCTGTGTGAGAATCAGGGTCCCATGTGAGTGGAGTGGAAGTGAGATATTAAGACTTAATGGCATCATCACCCCGGCGACCGAACATCGATCAACGATCTCCTGGTCTCCAGAGCAAAAACTTAACTGTGTGAGTGGTTCAATTTGTGAGTCTATTGGTATCTGTGTGAGACGGAACTGATAATGAAACCAATGCATTTGAGTGTCTCGGTGATTCACCACCTGCGTGCATCATCACATGGGAAGTGAAAGCTCCGTCGGACTTTAGCCTGGAGCCTCGACGTGCCTCTTGCGATGTAGCCGCGTTAGTTACACATTCCAAAAATATGTATACCTGGTTCAATATGTAACATTCATATTGTACATCAACTCATGTCATGGTCATGATTCGAAAATGTTAATCTAAGCACTGTAACATGGACGTCTACAAAGTGGTTTTGTTAACTTAAGATTAAGAATTGCACAGACTTGAGTAGGCACTTCAGTTGCCACCCCCCCCCCCCAAAGAAGCCCCTCCCCGTTTCCACGTTCATATTCAACTTGAATTTGGCTGGCAATTTAGGCTGGAGCCCGAAATCTCTGGGCCGGTTTTTCTTCATGGGCAGGCCTGGGATTCCCTACATTCGAATTTTTTGTATGGAATCAAAGTCCGACTCCATGTGGAAACGGGTTACAATGCTACGGGCCATTTAGTTTTCTGCGCGTAAATGGAACACCACAACTTGTGAGTGATTCATGGCATGTGATCGTCGTGTTACAGTTCTCGGTTATCATACGTAACGCACCATGACCCGCATACACCGTGTTGGACGTGCTTTTCCTGTGGGGCAGTCCACATGTCGGCGTCTTGTGGGCCTTACACAGATCGCTACTCGTACTGGCTCATCGCCGGGTTGTCAAATGCTGTCGCTCTTGGCAGACGCACCTGAATGGGAGACAGGGGTTTGATGTAAATCCACAGAAGCGGCGCGATTTATATTGCCGTGAGACTCCATGCACGGTGAGCAGACTGGTGTGGGCTTGGTGACAGTGTGAGAGTGAGCGAAGGCCAAAGTGCTTACACACAGTCACGACTTCATCGTAAGCCATTGTCTCTCCGCTGCTGGATGCTGCAGGATGAAGGCATCCCTAACGGTCCTGTGATTTTACAGTTCATCTCAGTCCCGCACATCTACCTATCCTGACGCCGGCACACAATGGCCTACTCTTGCGAAGGACATGAGGGGATCTTTACCGTCCCCTGCGAGTGAAGCAGACTGCACGTGGTACTATTTAGGTTATTACACCGACAGTGTTAATCAGGCGGCCGCTGAGTGCAAGCACGCCACGTTCTCACCTCCTTGTGAGGGTCGGGCTTGCTGTTTTCACGATAGGACAGCGTCTTGATTCCTGAAGCATCGCTCAAAATCGTGCTCTCCGGCATTGTGGTTATCCCTGTCCGTGAACACACGTGCAGTCAAACACATCAACACGAGATCGTAATGCGTAATACTGATTTTCATAGCGCGCTGCTTCCCTTTACACCGAGACGTCTCATCTCAATACATTTGGAAGGGCACCCTGTCGAGGCGGTAGGATCCCGCCCAGTGTGCCGAAGAGGGTGGCAAGAACACTCGCGAGATGAGCATCACCTCTTCACACCAGGTTCCCTGGCCTGCAAGCGGACGTGAGTCTGCCAGTAGGGGGCGATGATTGCAACTACGTGTAATCCCAATGGAGTAATTTGTTGGTCATTTTGCGGTTTAGGCAAATTTGGACCGTGACGCCGGTACACGATGGTCTACTCATTTAGAATGTCAGGAGATGTTTTATGTCCACTATGAAGCAGACGGTGCGTATTTATGGATAATAAAAAGTCGCAGTAGTAACCAGAGTGGCCTGTTGGATTCGAATTTCGAGCCTCTGCAGCAAGTGGCGAACGTGATATCCCTGGGCCGTGTCACCGAAACTTACACAAGGAAGACACGGTGCGATGTGATTTCCAATGTCTATGATCGTAGCCAACAGGGCAGTGCAGCAATATCTACGGTTGTGATCTTGTACCTATCTCTCTGCCTTCACCAACCCACACTGCACTATACCTGCACAACCCACACGGTATTGGGGAGGCCCTTATCCACAAGCTGATTGTCGAAATTATAGGTTTAAAATGTCTGTATTTGTGTCATTTGCTATGAATGTGTCACTTGAAAAACGAGATGTCCAATCTCAGGAGATTACCCAGGTGAAATATTGTAAAAATAATGCACAAAAGTAAAAAAAAAACGGCCTGGACACTTACATAAGTATTTCAGGGTCGTGTGACAAGCCAAATACATAGACGCATGTGACACACATTTTGAGTGTAAGATTCTGACAAGTGAGAATTGTTGATGTAATAAAATAGCGCAACTTACAGGGGATGTACGAGCCTTTCCTTGAGAAACTTGGGAACCGCGAGCGATTCGTCCCAAGGCTGTTGAGGAACAAAGACTATTTTTAAAAATATTTTACTTTGCGTTCCAGTTACAATCCATCCCTAAATACATAGCGCATGATATTAGCGCGTATGAGGTTGAACATGTTTTGCACTAATTTTGAGTACTCGGCATTTTGTCATATACCAATTCGTATGTTCACCTGCAGACAGGTGTATACAATGTGATGTGTTGGGCCAGATAAATATTTGGCATTACAATAAAAACATGCCATTAATATAACGATGCGTTAATCACCGAGTGATACGGATCGTGGCTTCGCAGGGCCATGACAGATAGCGACAGCCCGGGCAGGCCTGCGTGCAGCAATGGATATACAGTGGCCGATGTCGATGCTGATGAAGACGAGGATAACGATGACGACGAATAATCTGCTGCGTGTTGTCTACGGGTCACGCTTCACTTGTGCGGCCCTCCCAGCTGCTTTGAAGAGGGCCTTGTAACGGTCCAACTCACCTGCCCGTGTCGCTGAAGCGGTCCCAGGCCTTCTTGCGGCGGTACAGCATGTAGCCAAGCAGGCCTGCGAGCAGCAGCAGTAGCAGGATGCCACCCAGTGTGCCAAAGAGGATGGCGAAGAACACTCGCGAGATGAGCGTCACCTCTTCGCACCGGCTTCCCGTCGTCTGGTAAATGCCTTTGTTGTTACACCTGTGGGGTCGCCAGGTATTAGTTCATGAGTTATTCTTAAACGCAGTTGCTGGGCACAGGACTGAAATGCCGAAACGGTAAAGCGACCAGCAACAAACAGCACTGTAAGACGTGTAATACGTAAGAGTGTAACACGCTGTTTGTATGAAGAAAGATTATTATAGGAATTTGAGCAACAAGACGATGAGAGGGAATTACAAAGTGGAGCAGTGCGAGGGAAGACGCATAAAGCGAAGTGTTGTGACCTGCAGTATCACGGTGGGTGGGTATGTGATTGAATGCTTGATTGAGTGGGTGGGTAGATGAGCGAGTATGTTATAACCTGCAGTGTTGCGACTGATCACAGTATGGAGAAGATGAAACAGTCTGGCAGACCCGAGACCTCCACATGGTTGGAGGAATCAGTGAGTGAAGCTCACGGGAACAGTGACTATGTTAGTAGCGATATCGATAGAAGAGTGATAATGAGGTGACTGACCGCCGGTGAGCGAGTGACTAGTTTAAAGCAATGAATGCTGGATCATCAATTTGTCAGTTGCGTAAAGATGGAGACATCCTGTTCAGTCTCAGTGAATTACGGAAACAGTAGTTTTGGCAAGTACCTCTGAATGCCAATATGGCCGATGTAAGGAGTGCTGTAACCAGTGCCAATCCCAGACACTTCCCACCCCACCCAACCCACCACACAATGCTCATGTCGAGACACAAAGCAGCAGCTGCCCACTTTAGTCTAACAAGTCAAGCCCAAGCCAAAGGGAGATATCAATCGCCACTGCTGATTTACAAAGTATAAACCGCTACGCCGCCACCCCCCACACTTTAGACACGCACGCAATCGTCCCGCGAGGGGCTCCATGGACCGTCTGCGAGCGACTGCCGCCGTGGCTGACGTGATGCACAAAGCGCGTGGCGTGGGGGGGGGGGAGCACCACGGACAAAGGTGTGCGAGCGATGCCGTTGCTTGTCGGCAGGCTGGCCGCTGAGTGGTGCGAGCGACTCGGAGCTGCAGGGGCGGTTACTCACACACACACGGCGCCCGTCTGGAGGTGCTGGCATTCTCCGTTTTTGTTGCAGTGGTTCTCGTTGGCACACGGGGACAGGCAGACAGGGCCGCTGGTTTCCGGCAGGCTCAGCGTGTAGCCCGTGAATGTGGTGTTACAGTTGTACACCTGGTCCAGTTGGTTTTGCGGAACTGGAATGCATCAATGCCGTGGTGATTATAGTTGCCATTAGTGAAGAACTCATCTCAACAGCAAAGTATTTTGAGATCACGATGCCTACGATTAAATGTTACCAATTGGCAGATATTTGTCAAACTGGCAGATATAGGCCTGCCTACACAATGTCAGTCACTGAGTTTCTTGACCATACTTCACCACACCGGTCAGTGCTTATTGGTTACTTCATAATTTATTGGATAGAGGTTTAATTCAATGCCAAATCTAAGTTTAGTCCGATCAGATGCATGAACAAAGGATTTATATTCAAGAACGATTACTTAATTACGAGCTCATTGCCGCAGGTCACCTGCTAGAAAACTTACACACAGCCACACATCTCAAAAGTGGCGTATCTCACCGACTGTCTGCTGAATGTCTTCCAGAAGAATGTTCCCCAAGTATCGCATCAACACAAACTTGGACCTGATGAGGGCCAGCTGGGTCCCATTGTAGATGGCATGGATGCTGCTGTCGAGTGGGTAGTCAAAGTTGGCCATGCAGTTCGATTTAATTGTGGAGTTCCCGGTAGAGCTGATGAATATAAGGGACAAAAATGAATACCAGTTAACTTAACGTGTAGGTTTTCACAGGTTTTCATAATTGTCGTTTGGGTTAGGTTATGTCACGATCTAGCCAAAGTTACCCTGTGAACCCTCCACCACCCGCCAACACAAATGAAAGGGTCACCTGGTGCACAAGTGTTTAACGCGCCGCCATTTCCTGTTCTATCAGCTCATAAGTACGTTGAAGTTGAAAATTTAATTAACGCCATACATTGGTCATTACATGGTCTAACCAAAAATATATATGCATCACAAACACCAGTGTTAAAAGAGAACATATATTACACAACCACTATGCTATTGTGTGTCCATTGTTATTATTACCTGAAGTTTTCAAGAGATACTGCGTTGAACCCGGATATTATTTTCAGTTTGTTAATGACCTGTGAATCATGCAAAAATACGTAGAGTAGTGTTACAACCCAATGTTGCACGATTTCCAGCTTTTGTAACATTTCCACGTTTTATTTGCCGTTTGTTGGGGAAATTGACAGAAACTGTAAAAGAAAATACGCTTTCGAAAATTCGTGTTGCTCATGAACAGGGCTCGTAGTCAAAACGGACGGTGGTGTGGCCCACTGTATCGCGCTCGCTGCTCGCTGCAGAGGTTCACGGTTTGAATTCAGAAGCTGCCCTGATGATTACTGCGGTGTATATTAACTATAACAATACCACGCACCATCTGCCGCACCCACAGTGGACGTTAAAGATCCCTGTACCGTCATTCGTAAGCGGAGGCAATTGTGTGCTGGCTTCAGGGTCCAAATTTGCCAAATTAAAAAACTTACCCCCAAATCACTCAATTATATGTATGTTGAACTTCTTTCAGACTGTACATAGTCAACCCATGCTAATCGGAGGTGCGGGACTGTACACAGCAATCATCGCCCCTTACTGGCAGACTCATGTCCCAGGTCACTCTTACAAGTACTAATTTATACTGGTCTCTTGAATTCTTAACTTTTTTAGTAATATAACTTGAACTGAAGCCAATCAGAGAGTGGTCTGTACAGCAGCGGACTGGCACTGATCAGTATAGCAATGCACTGTCCTCTGAAATAGGGGCAATGCCCGACCAAGTGGGCAGTGCCCACAGATATGTGGGAGAAAAGTGGCTCTGCGCATCGCTATAAATTCCTCTATTCGCTTATTGAAGATGAGGTTGGGGTCAGGCAAGAAATTCGTATTGGTTAAAATCCTGCCAGCTACATCTGGTGTTACCTTTTTCTTTTACCTTAAAAACATATATATGTACTCTTAGTTCTTTAGGTAAAGCCACGTAGGTAAAAAATGAAATCAAAATTAATAAAAATAAAAAACAAAAACAATAACAATATTAATTTTGATTTCATTTTTTACCTACGTGACTTTACCGAAATAACTAAGAGTATGAATCCTTGCAGTCACGAAAGCTTCAAATCTAGAACATATATATGTAACTGAATAAAATAAAGCAATTCTCCACTTGGGAACTGAAACCAGAAGCAAGATTCTCAGAAAGGGGACTTAAACCCCTTACATTGTCAGTGTAATATATATTGATCCATCAATCATTATTGATTCTCTGAGCTCACAAAATGTTAGTCGAGTGACACACATACACATTTATGTTTTTTCCTTTTGTATATGTTGTATGTCATGTGTTCCCATGGACCGCTATACCTCCGATTAGCACGGCTGGCTACGTACACTGCCAAATAAGTTCAACATACAGACACTAGTGATTGCTACATTTACCACAATGTGTAAGAGAAAGAAAACTTTTTTGAATTTAATCGCAACTCTGAATTTTAGAAATGATCTATCGAATCGTCGGGGTGTCGAAGGTGTGAATCATTACTCCCCAATGTAGGGACAGTCTGGATAGGATTTGTCTGCTGAGCAATCAGATATGAGAAAGCTAGGACCAGATCCGTTTGGTTGGGAATCGGATTGATTGGACCTAATGTATTCAGGCCATATCAGTGCACCTTGATAAAATGTGATTTATATTTCTCATGTTTAAACTGGTCGGTTATTGTTACAAACAATACACATATTGGTTTAAGCAAGTTGTATAGTTATTAAATTGCTTCACGAGCCAGCCTCAGCGGTTAACCACCACCTTGAAGCAAACATCAGTGGCGGCAATGCCAACTTACCGCATTCGTCAGCTCAGCTTTGACAGCTTCTGTAATGCTATTGTATTTCTTGGAAATGAACCATAGTTTCAGAGCGTATTTCACCTTTGCAGCTCCTAGATGGGGTGCACAGAGTAACAATGTGAGGTGACAACTGCCCACGTGCGTGTCAGTATTACAATGCTTGATATTTCTTTATTTGAATGCACAAATTTCACACAGGAGATTTCTCGTATGAATAAGAACTCAATGCTTTTGGCCACAATGCACAATGTCCGCACACATATGACTCATAAAATGTGGACCGGAAACTCGGTGGTAGAGCAGCTGTCCGTGACCCATTTGTGACGCGATCGAAAGCATGCACAGCACACGGGATGATCACTCTCCTTTGTTGCATGCTGCTCTCTTCTGTCCAACGTGTGTTTCACCAGGCACAGAAAGTGGCACCAACCTGGCTTGCGAGAGACTGGGACGGTGAGGGTCCCGAACTGACACTTGTCGCCTTGGGTGACCGGCGTGCACGAGCACTTTGCCGCGCTGCAGCCTCCATCCACGCCGTCCACGTAGCACGCCCCGCCGTTAACGCACGGGTCACTGGGGCACGGCACGCTCCTGCACGCCGGCTTGCATGACTGCCCGACGGCTGGGAGGGAAGAGGAGAGGGGGTCATGTGGGCCAGCAAACGGTAGAGGGCGGTGAAGAGAGAGAGAAGCGTCCCCGTGTGAGCTGCGGCCAGGCTTGTTTTGACGGTCAAGGAGACTCGCTGCCAGTGCCCCCCTGGCCCTGGGTTCGGCCTCCCATTGACATTTAAAAGATCACGCACACGCGTGTTTGTGTTTGCAAGGAGCAAGTGCGCCCCTTGAGCAAGTTAACTTCCTCCTATGTAGTGTGACCACAAGCTCATTAATCATGTTGCCTCCTTTGTTGAGTCTAAGCAGGCACTTGTAACATAAGAGCTTGCATGGTACAGATAAAGGACTGTTTGCATAAACTAACATTGAAAGCTGTTAGTTGGTAGAGGAAGTGCAGTGCGGTAGCTTTACTTTTGAATTAAACAACACTCAGTGGTGGAAATGTGTCAGTATCCATATACATTTTAGTTTAGTGGCCACATCTGAGTCAGAATTAAGGTAATTTTATCAGGGGAAACACCGGTTTGCTGCAGCTGCCTCGTTATAAACAGAGCGGCTGCAGGAACCCGTTGTGACTCCTCTCTGCCAGGCTAACCTGTGTAGTTCTCATTGCAGAAGCAGGTGAAGCTGCCGAAGGTGTTCTGGCACTGCGCGTTGGGCCAGCACGCGGTCTTGTTCTTGCACTCGTCAATGTCCACGCAGGCGTTGCCACTTGTGACCATGCCCGGCCTGCAGGAGCAGCTCTGTACTCCGGGGACGTAGAGGCAGACCTCCATGCGCTCGCAGACGATCCCGTTGCCTGGGTGGGAGAAGAGGGAGGAGGACACGTCCTTGGCTTGCTTAGAGGTTTCAGGTGTAGAGAACTCAAAAGACAAGGAGAAGTCTGTCTGGCAAGAGTGAACTTGGTCGGCAAAAGATTACAAAGGCAAAAGCGTAAAAATAACTACAACAACGAAGTGAATAGAAATCAGAGCAATCACAACCAAAGAGAAAGTATGTATCATAATGGAGTGCCCTGGCAGCATTACGCTTGAGAGATATTGAAATATTGAACACAACTTCAAGACTATTTGAAACAGATTAATAACCCAACTCTATGAAACGTAGTATTCTGTTTAAATTTACTGCGGGCAGCGTCACTTGAACCCATATCGCCGCTCGCATTGAATCGTTGCGGGTAGGGAGGGGCGGAAGTGAATGGCCACACACGGCCACACACGTAACCTCCAGCATCGATCGCGCTCTATCCACAGACGCGCGTCACATACGCCGGAGTGGCCGTCACCTGTGAATCCCTCGTTACAGCTGCACGTGTAGCTTCCGTCCGTGTTGGCGCAGGTGGCGTCCGCAGAACAGGCGTTGGCCTGCGAGCACTCGTCAATGTCCAAGCAGCTGCTGTTGTCCGGCTTCATTTGGTACCCAGACTTACACCTGCAGTGACACGTGGAGAGAGCAGCAGTGCTTATTTGTTCAATTCTAGATTTGAAGCTTTCGTGACTGCAAGGATTCATATTCTTAGGTTTTTTTCGGTAAAGTCACGTGACTTTACCGAAAAAACTTAAGAATATTTGTTCAATGTTCAATTTATGAATTAGGCTACGTGGCTTAGCGGTAGAGCGAGCGGATCGCAATCCAAAGGTTGCAAATTTCACATCCTGGTTGGGAGTTGCCCATCATCTTTCTGGGGTGAATAAAATAGGTACCACTTTGTGTGGAAGTCAACAATGGTTATTTTATTGATGACCTCGCCACCGTCATAGAGATGCGAAATTTCCACCACTGGCTCAGGGCTGTAAACAGGAGATGAGCACCGGCTCAATGTTCATTTGAACAGAAACTCGCGACCACTTGTTATAAAACAGGTCTATATTTATATTCTCATGTCTTCGCCGCACGTTCTGAAGAGCCATCGCCAGACATACCAGTCGGTTTTTCTGTATATTTAAGAATGAACGAATCTTGAGCTCACAATGCTTGCATCAAATCGCGTGCGTAACAATCTTAGTTTTTACATGCACGTCGTTTGTAATGTGTTTAAGTGACCTCTACAACCACTCCTAGTAGGAGGGCAATCGAGAATCGCAGGCCGAATGCGACAAGGAGTCGTTATGCTACGTGCGACGCGACGTTCATGTGACCGCATGCGCAGCACCCTGAGCAGCTGCGGCTCCAGCTCCTCTCGGATTGGGGGGTGGGGGGCAGTTGGACTGTAATGTCGGGGGGCCACCGTGACAGTGATACACGCCATTGAGAAGAGTGAACATGAGTGGACCAACGTGACATCTGATCGTGCAGGGCCCAAGGCAGCAAGCCGCTAGTGCCGGCCCGGACACAGTGGAAAAGGCCGCCTGCACTCGTGCCACCGGCAAGGTGACGGCGATTGTGCCGGAGATACTCACACGCACACAGCTCCCGTGCGGAGGTGCTGGCGATTGTGCCGGAGATACTCACACGCACACAGCTCCCGTGCGGAGGTGCTGGCAATTGTTCCGGAGATACTCACACGCACACAGCGCCCGTACGGAGGTGTTGGCATTCTCCGATGTTATTGCAGTAGCTCTGATTGGCACACGGGGACAGGCACACGGGGCCGGTCTCTGGCAGGGTCAATATGTATCCCACGAACGTTGTGTCACAGTTGTACACCTGGTCCAGTTGGTTTTGTGGAACTGAAAAACAGATGCCGTCGTGGTTATGGATGAGTTAGAAATGCACCTGGTCTCACTGCAACATTAAAGCATACATGGGAAGTCAATATATTTTCAGAAAGACATGCTTAAATCAAGTTTTCTGGGAGGAAGCTGGGCAACTTATGAGTCAAAAAGCACTTCAATAAATAATGTGTAACCTATGGGAACCTCATTTGCCAGTAAAAATATGATAATTGGTTTTTTACCCTTCTATCTGGCAACAAAACTGACACCTTTTTACAAGGAGTCATGTTTGCATAGACCACAATACCTGCAGTCATAATGCAAACAAAAAACATAACTCTGATAATGTGCACTGTCCTTGAAGTTGATTGGTCCACACCCGAGACAGCTTTCCTTAGAGCCTAGTCTCACATGGGTTGGACCAGATGACGCCAAAAGGCTTTTTGGCGTCATTATCAATGTGTAACCTTTGTTAAAGACATTACCTGTTTCATTTAGATTTATTCAATCATGTATAAACACTCATGAATGGAGTTGGTCAAACATCCAAATATTGGGCCACAGAGCTTCGGCAATAGATGGCGCCGGATACGGTTTGCCTCTCCTCTTGTCTGTGGCTTCCCACGCCTCCGCATTACAAAGTCAACTTACAGCACTTGAGATGCAGTTCGTATGAATGGCGCGATATGAAGTCAAAATGAAATCGTTTTAAATAGGACCCTACATAAACATCAGTAATAATATTTGGTCTCAAGGGGGATGCGATCGACCCCATCGCACTCCCCTCCACACCGCCCCCTGCCCCCCCTTGGATCCGCCACTGTAGGCAGCGGGATAACAAGAACCCCTTGAGCCTGGACTTGAACAGCACGGAAAGATGTGAGGTGAGCCAGGTGAGAAATCAGATGCAGAGGAAATGTATCCGCATTCGTGGAAAAAACTTGCAAGTGGAATTCCCAATGCCTTTCCCAACTCTATTGAGGAATGGCTTTCATGCACGTTGCAATTATGTCCTAAAAATGGGCAGTCAAGCACAAATCTTGCGGTGATCTTTAGACCAGGGGTGGATATACGGCGGTGTAACCCGGAACGCTGTGGTCATGGATGTGAAATCTACACCAGACTCGGTCGTTCCGGAAGGAACCAGCAGAAAGGGCAGTAGCTTGGCGGGTAGTCTATGGTGTTTCTATCTATTTAATTCACAAGTGTCCGTCCATCACACTCTGGGTGTCCCAAACTATTTGTGGGGGCGGGGGATAAAAACAAATATACAATTGTGGAAAAGGTGTATGAACATACTTAACAAATATATACGTAACGTTGCTGTATTATTTTAAATTAATGCCGCTGCTGACACAGGCGAATTTATGTTAATTGATTAGTCAATACTCGTATCCCCCCCCCCCACCCCCTTGTGCTCAGGCTCAGTTGGTACGGTCCCGATGTGTTTTAGAAACTGGCTGCTCATTGCCGCAGGTCGCCTGCTGAAAAACTTACACAGCCACACATCTCAAAAGTGCCACATCTCACCGAGTATCTGCTGAATGTCTTCCAGAAGAATGTCCCCCAAGTATCGTGTCAGCCCAAACTTGGACTTGATGAGGGCCAGCTGGGTCCCGTTGAAGATGGAATGGATGCTGCTGTCGAGTGGATAGTCAAAGTAGGCCGTGCAGTTCGATTTAATTGTGGAGTTCTTGGTAGAGCTGATGAATGTAAAGGACAGAAAAACCCCAGTGTTAGAAGAGAGCTGATGTTATCACAGTACCACAGGCGCTATGTTGATGTACCTGCATTGTTATCGTGGCATGATATTATTACCTGAAGTTTTCAAGAATTACTGAGTTGAACCCAGATATTATTTTCAGTTTGTTGATGACCTGTGAATACAAGAAGATAACATTCAATGCCACATGATGTACAGATTCAGTGAACTTATTAAGAAGTTGATGGTGAAGTATGACCAAACAACCCCTTTCGACCAAATGGGCACGGGGAAGCCTTTATCCAGCAAGATCTTATCAAAGACCCGTACATTATTCACAAACTTTACAGTTAATTTTAAAACATTTCCCTGTGCTTCACGTGCCAGCCACAGGGGTTAACCCCCACCTTGTAGCAAACAGCAGTGGCGGCAATCCCAACTTACCGCATTTGTCATGTCAGCTTTGACAGCGTCTGTGATGTTGATGTATTGCTGGGAAATGAACCATAGTTTCAGCATGTATTTCACCTTCACAGCTCCTAGACGGGGGACACACAGAATAACAATGTGAGGTGACAGCCCCCCCCACCCCACCCCGTGCTTGTCAGTATTACAATGGGAAGAGAAGTGTCTTTATACTTTTTATATATTCGAATGTTAAAATGTATGAAAACGAATATGTATCCATGTCAGGGGATTTTCCAGGTGAAATATATAAATGAATATTCCTCATGAAAACAAAGAGCCCTCTGGGAGTACCTATTTCAGCAGCATTGATTCAACACAGGCTGTACTCTTGACAAATTTTAAGACACACTTTCTCATCAGCAGAATCTGTCTTGCTTGAATTACTGCTTTATGACTGCCAGATATTACAGGCAAGGACCATCTTCTCTCCATGATGTGGGGGCTAGTTTGACGCCAGATTATACAACACACAACTCAATAATCATGGCACCAACCTGGCTTGCGAGAGACTGGGACGGTGAGGGTCCCGAACTGACACTTGTCGCCTTGGGTGACCGGCGTGCACGAGCACTTTGAGGCGCTGCAGCCTCCATCCGCGCCGTCCACGTAGCACGCCCCGCCGTTAACGCACGGGTCACTGGGGCACGGCACGCTCCTGCACACCGGCTTGCATGACTGCCCGACGGCTGGGAAGGAAGAGGAGAGGGGGGTCATGTGAGCGAGTGAACGCCAGAGGGCGGTGAAGAGAGAGAGAGAAGCGTGCCCGTGCGAGCCGCGGCCAGGCTTGTTATTCCGGTTACGAAGCCTCGCTGCCAATGCCCCCCAGGCCGCCCCGGGTTCGGCCCTCCCGTTGACATTTAAGAGATCACGCACACGCGTGTTTGTGTATTTTTGCTGACTCCTGCAAATGAGGCTATTCTGGGCTCTTGATTTCTTATCTGGTTAAACAAAATAATATCAACTATGTGCAAGGAGTAAACGTGCCCATTGAGACTGCTGAACAGTACTGTGACCACGAGCTCTGAACTGCACCATCATCTTCTCAATAGGCCGTCTTTTATTAAACCGTCCATTATAAAAAAAAAATTGGACAGGCGCAAGTGACTTAAGATATTCAATGACTCATACAGCAAGGTTTGATAAATTGACATGAGAATGTCAATACGCACATAGTGATTGCTGTAACCTCATTCGTTAGTTGTGCAATATTTCTTACTGAACCTGGACTCGTTCTCTGTCATATTGATGTTTTGTCTTTGTTTTTGTTGTTGCTTTGTTCACGTACCAAAAAGATACCTTTTAAAATAGCCAAGAAACTGACAAAACGCATTTATCCGTGTAACAAATCAAATCAACTCAAACTTAAAACTGAGTAACATTCTGCGGAATTGCAAACCACGTTAAATCAGTGGGGGCATTAGTGACGCAGCGGCGACCTGACTTAATTCCCTGCCTGAACTAACATCAGATCCATAGTTAGCAATATCTGAACCAGTTCTTATCACCCCCTTCACAAACATGCACTGACCAGCATGGTGAAGTATAGTCAAACGACTCCCGTGACTGACACGGTATAGGAAAGCCTTTAACCTGGCAAAGGAATAAAAACAAGATGATTATTATCTTGAATACATCTGTTCCATAAAAATAATATAGTAACCCCCCCCCCCCAAGTATATAATGGGAGGTAAATGCATATAATGGTAGGTTTTTATTTCTCCTCTCCTCTCGTGGTTTGGAATTCCCATTCCCCAGCCATCCCTTCTGGAAGCTCAAGACTCAAGAAAGCGTCTTTGAGTCGGGAATTTATTGAGAGGAAGTTTTTTTAAGTTTTAAGTTGTCAAGACCGCGTCTTGAGACACGGTTGCATTGTTAGCCTCTAGATATCCACTTTGTTATAGTTGTGCAATGAGTGATGAAAGCCTGCTATCGGGAGAAACACCGTGTGCTCGCCTGCTGCAGCTGCCTCGTTTAAAACACAGTGGCCGCCGGAACCCATTGTGACCATCTTCTCTGACACTCATTACACTTTTCCGCCAGGCTAACCTGTGTAGTTCTCATTGCAGATGCAGGTGAAACTGCTGAAGGTGTTCTGGCAATGCGAGTTGGGCCAGCATGAGCTTTGGTTCTCGCACTCGTCGAAGTCCAGACAAAAATTTCCATTGCTGACCATGCCCGGTCTGCAGGAGCAGTTCTGCAGCCCGGTGAGATTGAGGCAGGCCTCGATGCGCTCGCAGTACGTCCCGTTGCCTGGGGGGAGGGGGAGGAAGAGAAGACGTGTTCTCTGTTTTAGAGGTCCCACATCGGAGATCTCGTAAAGCTATCCATGGGACGATTAATATTTTACAACTGAGTTTTCACATTAAAGATTCACACGTAACATTGTTCACGTAAAAAATCGACGTGCAAATGGAGAGGAGTACGGGAAACAAGAAACAACACGGGCAATATTGTATTCATAAGCATATACAGTGTGGAGTAGTGGCACACAGTGGTTTGCACATTGTGCTAAGAAACCGGCCACCTGGTGATAGAAATTACAATTTTAATTTTACCAGGTAAGGCTCACTGACTATTCGCTCTTTTTCAGAAGCGACCTGGCCACAAATGAGAGCTCAACAAAGTGGCTTATGATGGGGAAATTTATAGCAGCCAAATACTCAAAACGCATGTTTCTAAATGTGGAGGGAAAACCCGGAGGACCCGGAGAAAAATCGAAGCGACCACGGGGAGAATATGCAAACTCCAAATATACAAGCGTCAGTGTCGGGATTGAATCCAGGCAAGGGAGATTACATCTCACCACCACGGCATCAATACTGCTCCAGGCCCTCGATCCTTCACCAACCCACATTTAAAAGAGTGGTGAAGTGTGGTCAAACAACCACGGTGACTGACATGACACGGCTAGATCTTCATCTACCAGTGGATTAACAAAGAACTGTAAATTGTCGAATTGTCTGCATGAAGTGCAACTTTGGCAATAATCAGCGATTCCGTCAACCGTGCTGTAGCCACAGACGCTCGTCGCACCGGTGAATCCCTCGTTACAGCTGCACGTGTAGCTTCCGTCCGTGTTGGCGCAGGTGGCGTCTGCAGAACAATCATTGACCTGCGAGCACTCGTCAATGTCCGCGCAGCTGCTGTTTGCCAGCTTCATTTGGTACCCAGAGTTACATCTGCAGTGACACGTGAAGAGAACGATAATGGCAACAGAGTCAGTGATTTTGTTTTTGATAGAGCTCCGTGTACTTACGTCTAATCTAAATGGCCGCTCAGTGCAGAGGGCAATGCCATTGACAGCGAAACATTTATTCACCGATACATCAACGCAAAACATACCGCGAGGCATGTTCTGAAGAAACGCGACCTTCACGAGGAAAAAGCGAAAAACAAAAGCGGCGAAATGCGATTTCCTTAGATGCATGGTAGAAAAAGACGAGGTGATTGGCGAGGAACAATCAGTCCAGGGAGGACGCAGCAGAAGGAGGACGGTTGTTGCTCGTGTTCACTTACAGGCAGGCCGGACCATCCTTGAGATTGACGCACTCCATGTTGGTACCGTTTCCACAGTAACTGGCGTTGGCACATTGCGAGTGGCACTGCACGCCCCCATTGCTGCCCCATGCAACAGTGTAGCCACTATAATTCGTGTTGCACTTGTAATAGGTTAAAAACTCTTCTGCCGTGATACCTGTGAGAGCGAATAAAAACGCAGTGTTCGATCGCATCTCACTGTTGTACATCCATTTGCGCCACGTGAATGCGAATTATTCCCATTGAACACGGCTGCCCGATTTTAATGTTGCAAAACAGTGGCGCACACTGATATTTTACCCAGAAAAAACAGAGGATGCACATATTTGTTTTAATGTTTGACAAACCAAAAACAGAGCACTTGAAACACCTAATAATCTCATGGGTGGCTTTGCCTCTGAATGAAGGTTAAACATTCTGCTAAACATTAACGTTAGAGTACATGAAAGCTAAATAGATACAATTCAATAATATACAGATTCAAAGTAGCAAACGGCACGCGCTTATCTGTTAAATGTTTTTTTTTTTATATCAGGGCCCGTGGCATGCGTCGGGATATTGTAAATGGTGGAGCGGCTTAGCAGCGCCGGGGCTGATAAGCCAAATGATTAATTGTCCGGTCAAAGCTAAATTTTGTTTGAAATGTTGCCCTCTTTTGCATACACTACACATCATAAACTTTCAAATGTCTTCTCAGTCATTAAAATTAGTTGGGCGAACTAGGTGGTGTTCCCTGGAAAACCACGTGGACAGGCTAGCCACTTATTTTGCAGATTGCGAGATGATTCACAGCCACCTTTGTCCCATTTTGTGCCAGCAAAGTGCATGGTAAAACAAAACTCTTTACAGGGAATAAAGATTTATCTCTGAATATGACATTGCCTACTGATGTGATGGCAACGTCCAAAAGCGTATGTTTATTTTGTTTAACCAGGTGATAACTTAATAGACCAAAATATCCTCATTTGTAAAAGTGACTTGGGTCACCCCAATGACAAAAACAAAGTACAACAATGAACCAAATAGAAATCGGAGCAAACAACCGTGTCCAAGGAAAATTATATTTGATACACTGCTTTCTACAGAAGTTTTGCAAAGACATTGACTTGGCATGATGTTGAGAATGGCGTCATTGGCTGCAGGATGAAGTAATTAAGGATGTTTAGGATTAACGCTGCGAACCGAGCCCACTTACCTGTGCCGTTCTCGTATATGTCTGTTTGATTCGGAAATTCAATTTGCAAGTCGCTGCTGTTTTGTACTTTGATTGATTCGGTGATGGCAGAAAATATTGATGGGATGAGATCTTTTGAGTAGAAGTCGAGAATGGTGCGGTTTGGCATGTAATTGTAGCGTGCCTCGCTCGTCACAATGATGCTGCCTTTGCTGTTTATGGCACACAGGAAAAGGGAACAAAAAAACCCGTAATAAGTCAAAGACATGGTTATCTTAAAGTGCAATAATGGGAAACCCGTGTGTCATCACAAAAATGTAACTCAAATGTTCACGTGATTCTAAAATAACAAATACTATAAATTGCCGACAAATTAGGGACAACAGCATTTTATTAAACAGTAGAGAATATATCATGGGACCTCCTTTGCCAGTACCAAAATATGAGAATAGGTTTTGTTGTCAGATAAAAGGGGAAAACCTATTCTCAGTAGAGAATATTTAACGATATAACTCAACACAAAATACACCTTCCCATATCTTAGTTTTCACATCCTATCGACCACACGGCCTTCTAGGAATTAATCTTTCCATCAGCATTGGTTTCACACAAGTTTTATTATGACGAGTCTTCATCAGCCTAACGTTACCCACAATCACAAAATGGTGTGTTGGGGTGGGGCTTGGTAATAAATAGGGTGATCATTCATGAACAGCTAAATATACAGTGCTTTCTCCAATCCGATATAGAATTCTGCATACCGGTCAATTTAAATTTCCACCCACCCCAGTCCGCCAACCTTGAATTAGTGTGCCGACTATAGCCTACTATACAGTAGTTTACTTAATCTAGGAAAGCCTCACCGAGTCTCAACACTCTTTTTATAGGAGGGTCTCGGATCGTAGTCAGAGACTGGAGTACTCTGAGAAAACCCATGCGTGTGAGAGAAGAAACACATGAAAGTCTTGTAAGTTTCACAAACCTATGTGATGCACCAACCCTTACCTCTAAAGATATTACAAACAATACCATGCTCATCTCTGTTGATTAAATGTATTTATCAGAAGTTAATGTAAATGACGTACCTCATTTACGGATTGACATATCCAAGAAATCGCTGAGCAAAAAAATCAATACCTAAGCATCTGTAAAGTAAGAATAAAACATCAATTAGAAATGTCGTCTGTGATATAGAAATATGTATAATTTAACATCATGTAAATATTATTTACAGCCAATGCTGGATGAAGGCCTCTCCACACTGTGACGCTCATGTAGCTTGAACCATACTCCATCACGCTATCAGGTGGGGCTGAAGTACGGTAAAACAATTCATATGTCATGGGGTCCTTCATCCAGCAGCAGATTGACATAGGACCAAATAATATATTAATACGGGATATGTTATCTCATGAGATTGCACTTACACATAAAGCGTGCAAAAATTGTGTGCAGAAATTGTGCGTACCCGTCTCATGAACTCGTCTTCAAATAGATTTATGCTTTCCTGGTCTTCATACTATCCTCGTAGTTCCTGTTGGTGACTCTGACCACTATGGTGATGACCTTCGTGCGCGGCACTGCAGACGGTACAAAGCATCAACAGCCACGGTGAAGCGAATTCAACAAAACTCACAGAAACCTTCGCTAGGCCTGTATTTACTATTTTTATTTTACCAGGTAAAGCTCACTAAGCCATTTGCTCTTCTTCATAAACGACCTGGCCACAAATGATAGCTCAACAAAGCGGCTTATCATGCCGATATTTGTAGTATAAGAACACTGTACTCTCAACGCATGTTGATTCCAAAGACTCGGAGGGAAAATTCACACGACCACGGGGAGAACGTGCCAACTCCAGCTGTACAGCAGGCGCCAGGTCGGGATCGAACCCACGACCTCCTGTATACCAGGCAATGGAGATAACATCTCGCCACCACGGCATTCCATGATGCTAAGCAGATGGTTCTCCTAGCATCATCCAACCTGGGCCTATTTCCATCAATACACAAGTGGGCCGAATCCGGGGATCACTACACGACTGCTGCTGGTGTAGGCACGACCGCCAGTGCACTCCGAGCAGTAGTCCACTCAGAGCCGGCCCTAGACCTTGAGGGGCCCTAAGCAAAATTTGGTTGGAGGCCCCTTTGATGTATGATTTTTTTCACCCACTAGCTAGCAGTGACTCTAGGGGGCCCTCTGCTGGCCACGGGGCCCTTTGCAATTGCAAGGTCGCTTAGTGCTGGCCGGCTCTGAGTCCACGACACCAGGAGTAGCAGCTGCACACCACCGTGCCACCGCCACGACACTACCAGGTGTAAACTTCTTAAAGAGCAGCTGGCAGTTGGACTCTCTAGCTGGTGCTCATTAGGGTTGATGCGGATTCTTAGGGGCCGTCATATAATGACGTCACGCCCCTGGGGGTGGGGGGGGGGTCAGACATTCGTGACGATGTGTGACGAGGGGGGGGGGGGTTAATAAATGTGACGTCACATCACAAGGCGCAACTTTAAATAAATATAGACAACACGTTCCACTTAATTAAATAGACTTTTTAATAAATGTTTTCTCCTACAACATCAGAAGTGCAGGCGCCACATTAATACGCACTACAATGACAATAGTTTATAGCGATTTGAAGCATGTTAACATTTTTAGGGCGGGCGGGGGCAGTTGGGGGGGGGCAGAGCTTTTGGACGTCATATTTGAGGGGGGGTCTGACTTTTTGTGACGCCGTGTGACGAAGGGGGGGGGTGGGGGGTTCAAAAATTGTCCCAAATGAGTCGCGTGACGTCATTTATGGACGGCCCCTTATTGCTGGAGAGAATGTTCGTTGTTTTGGCGGTGTGAGATTACCTCACAGCTTATAAATGTGTTTTTTTCTTCACATTGTGGCGAATGGTAACACCTCTCATTGTTACAGGCGGTATGCTTTATTACTTTGTATTTATTCTGCTTGTTTACTCAGGAAAGCCTCATGGAGTCTCAAGACTACTCTTCAGCAGGAGCCTGACAAGTGCTTTTTTTTAAGTTAGTAATTTTTCAAATTTGGAAACATTTGGATATGGCCTAGTTTGCTTCATCACGAAATGTTTAAGACGGCGCATATGTTTCGCCATGTTTTAATACGCCCACAGGATTGAACTAGGTGGCTTGTCAGATTTGTTGAACGTTGAACTGCAACGAGTGGTGAGCGCGCTCCTCGTGGACCCTCATTGCATCCTACCGTTAAATGGGACGGCCGGCACGAACGTCTTTCCCCTGAACAGTCATCGCCGGTGTATGCGTCTTGGCAGATGCAGCTGGATCTACAGTCGTCATTCGTCTGACAGGACCATCGTTGTCGCACTTTCTCTTGCCGAAATCTGTAACCACACAACGGAGTAGCAGTGTCGTTCACATCCGTGACAACATTACCACATTACCGGTAAACGCGCGGCCTTGCAATCGTTCGCTCACGCCACCGCTGGCAGAAGGGCCTCCATGAAGTGAATCGGAGGGTATTTTGGTCTCCTCTTCACGTTGACCAGACGTCTTGAAGAGGTGGGCATATTTCGATTTAAAGTTTTCGTGACTGCAGGGATTCATCTTCTTGGTCTTTTGGTAAAGTCACGTATAAGGGAAGTAATAAAATAATAAGAATAAAACATAATAAAATAAAATAATATATAAAAATAAAACATAATAAAATAATATAATAATATAATATATATGTTATTATGTTTTATTTTTATTGTTTTATTACTTCCCTTCTACGTGACTTTACCGAAAGAACCAAGAAGAGGTGGGCATATCCACACTTTACCCCACCGCATGCTTGTGCTGCTGGGTGGACAGCAGAATTGGGGTGGATTTGGGAGACTCTCCCCCTTGTTGTTTATACTGCTGCGTTGTGTGCTCTCCATTACTGCACGGCAGCTACAACAACGTACACAGCAATATTAATAATAATTCCCTTTATTTAACCAGGAAAGCCTGAATCAGGTTGGTTCAGTAATGGAACGCTTGAAACCGGTTCCTTGATGACGAGGGTTTGGCGTGTGGCAGGAATCCAGTGTGGCTGGAGGAACCCGACGCAGACGGGGGATTAACGTCCAAATCTCCTAACCCCCTTGCAGCCCAACAGGTTTAGCATTTTTCAAATCTCTGCGTGATCCACCAAACCCTTGCTTCCGAAGTGCTAGATTACAGGTGTGTGACACCATGCACTACTGGCACAGAGAAGCTGGTTGGGATGTAAACACAGTGCCATTCACGTACACAATTTGTACTGCGTGTTGTGTGTGCCTCGCAGTATACTGTATGTATACCGCAATAGGGTATATTAATCAGAAACATGGGGTGGCTACTCTTAATGTTTTCAGTCTATACCAACAAACTACCGCTACATCTAAATTTCACTTCATCAGTAGTCATGAGCTTTGATTAAAACAATTATATATCCATGTTCATAATAAAGTAAATTAAATATATATTAAAAAAAAACATCTTACCATCCGTTTTGCACTTGCAGTTAAACGATCCCTCTGTGTTTATGCATGTTTTGCCTGAAGGGCAAATGTTCGATTTGGTGTCACACTCATTCACATCTCTGCATACTTTTCCATCTCCACGAAGCCGCTCTTGCAGATGCAGTCATAAGAACCGATAGTATTTTTGCATATGGCATTTGGGGGTGCAGTTGTTGACTGTTGCACACTCATCCACATCGGAGCACTTCTTGCCATCTCCCTGAAATCCGCTTTTGCAGAGGCAGCTGTAGGAGCCAAATGAATTTTGGCAGCTGGCATTAACGCTACAGTCGTTGGCTATTCGACACTCGTCCACATCCGTGCAGAAAACATCATTCGCCGTGAAGCCAACCTTGCACGTGCATGTGTAGCTGCCAATGGTGTTTCGGCACTCTTTATTGCCAAGGCATAACCCTCCCGTCTGACATTCATCGATATCCACGCAAGTTCCTGTGACATCTGCAATACACATCAGTATGTTTAGTAAATTAAGGGTATGATGATTATTACAGAGCTGAAAACGACCATTCTCCCAGCTAACAGCTACCATTCCTCGCATTTTGATGTAACGTCACATTTCTCAAACCCTCCCCCCCCCTCCTAGGTGCGTGACGTCATTTATGGACGGCCCCTAAGGGGTTGTGCAGTGTTGATTTAAGCGTCATGAGGACAGCATTTGAGTTTATTTGTTTTGTTTCGTATTGTTTATAAATGCCTACCGTTGGTAGATAAGACAGTTATATCACTTTCATGGGAAGGACAATAACATGACGAGGTTTTATTTAATTAAAATACCATATTTTCAGAGGTCACTCACAACAGCGCCACCTAGTGGAAATGTCACGAGCCGCACTAAAAGAGGGGAGAAGCAATGCATAACGCCGAGTGCCTTGCCTGTTAACATCTTGAGATGTGTACGCATTATAAATCCCAAACGCATTGTAAGTTACAAAAAAATCCAGGATAAAGTAATGTATAAAAAACGGGATACATTGTGAACTGTGAACTTACTCTTAAAGCCGCTGTTTACAGATGCAATTATACCCGCCGATCACATATTGGCAATAGCTGTTGCTGGGGCAATTGTGGGTATTGCTCTTGCAGTAGTCGACGATCACCACACTTGAGGCCGACAACTCCATAACCGGCAAGCAGAGGCACGTGAAAGAGCCCTCGTTGTTGATGCACTGGTGTCCCTTGCCGCATGCCTCGCCACCCGCACGCTACATTCATCGATGTCCGTGCAGCCGCCGCTGGAAGTTTCTGCAGCAAAGGGACACGAGGGCTGTGACTGCGGCCGACTGAACGTTGAAACAATTGGTGCACATGCCGCGAGCTCGCGGCTCAAAGGGCACCATCTCTGGGCAAGTCTGTATGAAGGCGTAGGTGGGCACTTGCCATGCAAAACACTGCTTCAATGAAAAATACACTAGTTCCACCAAACAGAATTGGTTAAGGGACCCAACGGACATGGCAATTTGTGCATTATTGTTCATGGGTCTACCAGAGCAATGTGTCTGAAAATTGGTACCGGAAGAGTGCAAACATCGGGATGGGGTGGGGTGGGAAGGAAGGAGGA